TTCAGTGGATTATGGATTGGGCTCTAATTTATGCATCAAGTTAAAATTTTATACCATACTTTTTTTACTTTTTTTAAAATAAAATTGCCTTATTATTTTTATAAAAAAAAAAAAAAAAAAGAAGCGCAATTTGTACTTTTTTTTTCACTTGGGTCTCAGGAACGTTTGCAGAATTAATTATGCCGCCAAGTTAATATAGCTGGAAGTGAACGCATCATGACTTTGCCCGCTGGATGATGAAAAATCACACCTTCAGTTTAGTCGGTGGCAAGTTTGATAATTGAATTGCTAAATTAAATAAGTTCGTGGAATATTTATGAGTTTAGTTTTTTATTCTTTTTTCACAAATTGTGAAAGTCAGGAATAATAGAGGACACTTTTATTTTTAAAGAAAATTGTGTCATTCTCTAAATTGGTTAATAATTCAATTTCAATATTTTCAGAATAAGTCTTATATCAGATTTTAAAAGTGGGGCCTCGGATTCTTACTGGAAAATCTCTTGGTCAATCTCTCTCCCATCAAATGCACTCCCTGCAGCTAACATTCTCCAAAAGCATTACTTCAATAACTCGAGCTTTTATATATGGAACATCTTTTCACTACTTGTCATTATGTGCGAGCTATCTGATTTAACTGTTTCTCTGTCAAGCTTCCAGATCTTAACTTTCATGGATTTCAACATTGACTAATGAGTTCTCTTTAACGGCTTCATAAGGATGAGCATGATCGGCTTCTACATGGGATTATCACTTTTGTGACGATCATTTGCCATGAAAGAAATGCAGCTCTTGCTTTCTTTTGAATTGAAAACCAAGAAAAAGAAAAGCAATGTAGCTCTGCATGAAGGTAAAATCAAGCATCCTAATTCTATCATGCAGGCAATTCTGGGCTACAGATCTAGCATTTTCCAAACAAGAAGAACAAATTACAAGCACTGTTTCCAATAGGACTAAACTCATTACCAACTACCTGTCATTAGTCATGAGAAAAAAACACATAACTCAAGCCGGCAGAAATATTTTCTCACTACTTACAAGAATCTTTGAGAAAGCAAAACAAATATATAGCAGAAATTAAATAGCACTAGAGACCCAAAAAACATCAACGTAGAAAACTCCTCAATACAAGGATAAAACCACAGGTCATTTGGATCAATGGAAAATGGTTCTACTATGATCAAGACATGGTACAAGAGAGTCTTGATCAATTGCACAAACAAGTGCAAACAACCAGCCAAACAATCAAAAGTCAAAAATTATATTACTTCCTTGACACTTCATACTAATTTTTCGAATAAGTTAAGAATATATTAGAATTTTTTTACTGAAAACTCTAACATTTAATTATATATTTCTATCATTGGTTTAAAAGACCTGTAGAAAGAAACGGAAGAAACTTAAACAAAAAACACAAACAAAATCAAAAGAAAGAAAGAAAGAAAGAAAAAGCTACGCCCAAGCTTGTACCAAGTACTGGCTCTATCTTCGCTGGATGACATGAGCAAGCCAACTTCAAGTGTCTCTCGTGCCCTTTTCTTGGCAACTTGATGCCCCTGAAAGGTTATGTTCACAAAAGAGCTACAAGCCAGCAAGTGATTTTCAGCAGGTATGGATAAGGAAGATGATTCATTACCCATGCCTAGAAGAAAACCCAAAGCAAATTGCATCCACATGAACAGTCCAGCGGGCCCAAATCTGCTGGTTTATCCCCAGATATATTCTGCAATATGTTATAACAGTAGGATTGGTTGATGCCCGAATCCCAGACTTGAGTTACACAACTCTAGTAGTATGTTTTCAAGTGTGCATGCCAGGTGCGTCATGGATACTAACTCTACCATACCAAATTTTATAAAGTGTAGTAATTCCTGACAGCTTGTGTTTGTTCATAATTCTTAGTCTGAGAAAACCTTGGGAAAAAATGGTCAAAGCAAAAACTTAGAATCTTCCTAAGGGTCCGTTTGGATTGACGGTGGAAAAAGTAGCTTATTTTTAATATGACTTTTAAAAAAATAACATTGGGTAAAAGTTAAATTGAATAAGCTGAGTGTCCGTTTAGGAAGGCTTAAATTGGGTGAGAAGATGCTTATTTTGGGCAGAAGCCCGATTGAAAATATTGGCATAGTTTGGGAGGGCTTAAGCCCCATTGAGTTTGTCTGGAATAAGCTCACCTAGCATGCGTTCAAATGGAAGCCCCAAAAAGAAGCTTATTTTGAAGAGCTTACTAGCTTTACCTTTGTGATGTGTCAGATATCGTGGAGCGACTGAGCATAACGCGTGGACGTGTGGGTCCCATTCGTCAACGGACCAGCAGCCTCATGCGTGACAAAGGGTGGACTCGAAACCTCTCCATTTCCTTACTATCCATTTCCCCTTCACTTACCAAATCTAGAGCGTTCGTCAAATCGAGTGGGTCATGTTTTCACAACACACTACAAACTCCCTCTCCTCTCTCCCCATCTCTTCTATTTGAATTCAGCTTCGCCCTCTTCTATTTCATTCTGCAACAGCCAACGGAGGTCTTATTAAATTAAAAAATTAGGATCTTCATATTTGCATTAGATTTCAGCATTTGTTTTCAATTAAGCTTCGCCTCATTCAGATCTCATTCTACAACAGGGGCGAGGCCAAGTTGGAAAAGAAGGGAAGATTGAATGAGGGGGAGGCGGAGTTTTGAATTGTGTTTTAAAAACATGAGCCATTTCATTTAACAAGATCTCTGTTGCGAGATGAAATGGAAGGGGGAAAAGCTGAAGTAAAATAGAAGTGGCGGTGGGAGAGAGGAGAGGGAGTTTGTAGTGTGCTGCGAAAATATGAGCCATTGGATTTGATGAATGGTCCAGATTAGGGAAGTGGAGGGGGAATGGACAGTAAGGAAATGGAGAGGTTCCGAGTCCGACAAAGGGTAGTGGGAATTAGGAAAGTTATTTTTTCTTTTTCTTTTTTTTCAAAAGAGTAATAAAGTTAAATTTTAGTATTCAAAAGTCATAACACACACGCACACCATTTTTTTTTTTTGGGTAAAATCAAAAATCATGTGATTCCCATTCAAACTGCTTCAATCTATATGCCATTATAAAATAGATTCTTGACGTACTTCCTCCCATTCTTTTTTTTTTCATGTTTTATTTTACATTTAAAATATTTTTTATGATTTTTCTAAAATTTTAAAATTTAATTCACTCGTTAAATTTTACTTCTTCATATTAAATTATTTTAAATTCATTGTATTATGTAAAATCATTTTTTTAATCATATTTCATTATTTCTTAAAACTCATACTCATTTTGGTAATTTTACAGTCAAATTTATTTTTACTCAATCATAATCAAAACAACTTTTACCAATCTCACTTTTACAAATTAACTTTTTTAAACTCCAATCCAAGCATAATCGTGTCATTCTCTAAATTGGTTAATAATTTCAATATCAATATATCAGAACAAATATCATTAGATTTTAAAACTGGGGCCTCGGATTCTCACTAGAAATTCTTTTGGTCAATCTCTTTTATCAGATAATTTGTTATAAAAGAAAGGCAGCTCTTGCTTTCTTTTAATATACGACACGTAGACCAATGGCCCACATGATATCAAAAATAAAGAAATGTGGCTTTTGCTTTTCTGATAATACGAAATAAAACGTAGCTCTGGATGAAGATAAAGAGTGTGTTTGGATTAATATTGAGTAAAACTGACTTCTAGTCTGACTGATTTTTGTAACTGAAGTCAGAGTAAAAGTCAGTTAGTGTAATGTGATTTATGTTTGAATAAGTGCTTATAAAAAGTCAATTAAAAAAGTTGAAAGTTGTTGAATGATTAATAAAAAAGTTAGTTTGGTTGAAAATAGCTGAAAAGGGTATAAACTTTATTAAATAATAGTGTTTGATATTTTATGTTTTTAATTTGATAATATTTTAAAAAATACCTAAAATTATTATGATAAAATATAAATAGTTTATTTGTGAAATTATAAAATAGAAATATTTGTTACCGAGATAATTAAACATATATAATGGATAAATATGAATATAAATTAAAACTTATTTGTTCTCTAGTTTGGGAATTTATTAGTGTTTGTTTAAGATTTTAATTCTTTTTCTACTAAAATCCCTTTTGGAGTCATTGCGATTCCCCTGTTCCCAGCTATGGTGGATGAAATTGAGAAGGTGGGTGAGGTTGAGAGACGGAGAAGCTTGGAAAAGGCAGGAAGGCACCTTCCTAAACGCTCCAAAAGTTATAAGTCTGAGTATTGGAAAGCACCGGTAGTTTGGCCCAAAAGTTAGTTGGTATCTTAATCCATCCAAACAGCCAGTTGAATCCCAAAAAGCCTCAAACCTCAGTTTCACACTTTTCCATGAGCTTTTACTCCTCCAAACAGAAATCCAAACATGACCAAAATCAAGCATCCGTATTCTATCATTCAGGAGATTCTGGGCTCACTGTATTTTACAGATCTAGCCTTTTCCAAACAAGAAGAACAGATTACAAGCAGTGCTTCCAATAGGACTGAACTCATTACCAATTATCTATCACTAGTGATAAGAAAAACATATAACTCATCAATAAGAATTGATCCAGTTAGTAAAAAGTCGGCTCATAACCTACAAGGTCGTGATTTTTGTCGATATGAGGATCTTGTTGATGAATAATCTATAAGTATAAAATATTCTCTCACCACTTGTAAAAATATTTGAGAAAGAAAAATAAATATATGATAGAAAATAAATAACACTAGAGATACCAAATGTAAAAAACCCCTCAATACAACAGAAAAAATCATGGGTCATTTAGATCAATAGAAAATGGATCTACTATGATCAAAACATGATACAAGAGAGTCTCAATCAAATATACAGACAAGTACAAACAACCAGCCAAATAATCAAAACTATAAGCTTTTAATTATATTCTTTCTTTCGCACTTCATAGTAGTTTTTTGAATAAGTTAAGAACATATCAGGCCAACTTCAAGCATTTCTCCAAAATGCCCTCCAGAGAGAGGGGTTTAAAGTCATTAAACTGAGAGAACGAGATTTGCAGGGAAGTCTTGTTCCTCTTCATCCCTGATTCCATTCTCTGCAACCATATCGATGGCACAATCCACAGAAATTTGCTGAATTGGTAAAGCCAACTCAAGGTGAAGAGCATCTTCAAGCTCACACAGTACATACCCCATTGATGGTCTATTTATGCGACTCTCCTCCAAGCACTTCCAAGCCAACTCACGTACTTTGTGTAGAGAATCTAAGTTCACTTTACCGATCAAATATGGGTCTATAATCTCATGAAAGGTGCCATTTTCTTGGCAGCTTAATGCCCATTTTGCCAGATTAAGATGCTCTGTTGGACGAGTGTCGTCTAAAGCAGACTTGCCACACATAACTTCCATCAGAACCATCCCAAATGAGAAAACTTCTGATTTCTCTGTGAGATATTTTGTTCTGAAATACTCAGGATCAATATAACCAAAGCTGTCCTTTACCAAGGTTGTTACATGACTCTTATCCAGAGGTGGACCTTTTCTCGAGATTCCAAAATCAGCAATTTTTGGGTCAAAATTGTCATTCAAGAGAATATTTGCTGTCTTAACATCGCGATGGATTACACTTCGAGGAGCCCCTGTGTGTAGGTAATGAAGAGCCTTCGCAGTCCCAACGCATATTTCCAGTCTTCGCTTCCATGATAAAGGAAGAAAGTTTGTCCCATGGAGATGACCACTCAAAGATCCATTCGCCAAGAATTCGTAGACTAGAATCATTTGAGAGTCTTCATTACAGTATCCTATCAGAGAGACAAGATTCTGATGAGAGAGCTTGGATAGCAATTCAATCTCATTCTCAAATTCACGAAGACCCTGTCCTGATTGGGGATTAGCCACTTTGATGGCTACTTCTTTCCCGTTATTCATCATTCCTTTGTAGACTTTGCCAAAACCACCCTCTCCAAGAAGCAGACCCTCCTCAAAGTTGTTAGTTGCTTCACTGATTTCTTGCAAAGTGAAAAGCCTACATGATCTGGTCGTGCCTCTGGAGCCTGCCCTTGACCTGTGAGTTTTCAAGTAACATAAAGTTACTACAATGAGAACTAGGAAGGCTGCAGCACCCAAGACAGATCCAACTATTAATTTCACGCAAGCCCTTCCGTCCAAGGCTCTAACTTCATCAATGATCTTCATTATCTCCAGCCCGTTCATGGTAGCATTTGTACTATTTGTCGTTCTATCAGGAGCAACAGTTACTGTCAAATTGTTTCCTCTTGTAGACACAACAAAATCCATGTAATGTCGCTCCTGCCCAGAAATTCTAGGATCTGGAGAGTAAAGACGGCGTTTTTCATAAGCTACACCATCGATAAACAGGTTGAACATTCCCATCTCTTCCGGCTTGCTTATGATATCCCAGAAGTGTACCCGAACAAAATAGTTGTCATTTGGATTTACAGAGAAGATCCAACGTAAGTCGGGGCTTCCTGCATCTGCCATGGCTTTGGCTGTAGCATAGACCCAATCTGGTGCTATGACAGACGTAAGGTATCCAAAATTGCTTTCTTTAGTATCAATTGAAATATTCAGCGCCCTACTATTGGAGGCCAAGTATTTCTCATCACCCTCCCAGTTCCGACCAAGTTCGTCATTCCGAGTGGTGAGGGATTCATAACCCATATCTAACCTGTAAACAGTTTCCAGGACAAATTTTGAAAGATGCAACAGATGAACTGATGTGTTGTTGATTACATAAATGCCTTGATCACCCGGTGTGGAGACAACTTCTATTGCATTAACAAACACAGATGAGTTGGCAGAAGGGATGAATGTGAGGGTCATTGTGGGGGATGTGATATTGATTACATATTCCTTGAACAAGTGAGAGCCACCATACTTCATGAAGTTGAAATCTTTGAGAAGCACAACCCCATCAGCGACTACTGTTACTGAGGAAGAAGGCAAGTTCTGGTGAGAGTTGGGGAAAGGGTAGAAGTAGAGGCGGATCCAGTGCTGAGCTGGATGTCCAATTCTGAATATATATGAAGCTCTACCCCAAAAGATTCTGGCTGACTGGTAGATTGGAGATGGAGCACGAGATTGAGTGGTAACAGCAATAGATTTCTGGCTTTTCAATTGTAAAGTACGTTTATCATAGACAGATTCAGGGAGAAAAGTTCGACCCTCGAAGCGTATATCAACAGAAGAACCACAAGCGAGTAAGTAGTTGTCAACAGGTGTGAGTGAGGAGCATGATTCCATGGTCAGAAGAAGAAGAGAAGCCAAAGCAAATGACGTCCACATGAAAAAGTCAGGAACGCCCATATCTGCTGTACGTTTTACTTGAGAAAATCAGAAGAAATTACGTACCCTTTCATATGACGTGTTTGTTCTTTAAATAGATTTCTCATTCATGGCCAAAGAAGCAGAAGACTTGTCATTTGTGATCCACTTGCATCTTGAACGAGCCCTCTTTTTTTTTTTTTCATATGGATTGACCTGGGTCAACTCCAGTGGGTCGTTTGAACGAATGCTTTTTACCTTTGGACTCCTGATGAGAACTAGTCACGCACAAAATCTTCTTTGTTAAGGTGAATGTTCTTCTAAAATGCACCAATTTTTGCCACATAATCTTTAGGTGACAAGGCTGCGGTGCCATGTGCATACAGATCAAGGGCTCAACTCAAAGAAATGATAAAATAAATTCTAACAAACACGAGATGATACAGAGCAAAGTCGATTTTTTGGCCCTTTGATAACGTGGAAAGTTCGAATCTTGATGATGAAAAAGGGGAATCTCATCGAAAGAGTCACTTTTGATGAGGCCCCGATGTACTATTTTAATTCGGAATCTGAACATCACGATGCGTATGAAATTTCAATCTACAAATTTAACATGGATGGCCAATTTTTAAATTTTTTTCTAAAAAATGATTTCCTTTAATAGGTACATATAATTTGAAAATTTTAGATCTAGATCACTAAAATTGTATTTAGATAGTGTAGATTTTATTACAACAACAAGCATCATGGTACTCATCTTTTCAATGAACACCAAAATTGGTCCTTTTAAATTCAACTTGGTAATTTTTTTTTCTCTTCTTAAAAAAATGGAACCACATAAAACGCAAATAAATACAAATAAAAACAAGAAAAATCATGGCAAACACCTTATCATATTCACCATGAAGACTTCAAGGTCAAAATTAAAAATTAAATTAAAAGGAGAATAATGGGAAGAATTTTAACTTTAAAAAGCACATAGCATAATAAGTTATTTTATTGATGTCGTAAATGGTGTGATTTTTTTCATATCATTTACTGTTTACAAGTTAATTAACATTAGGGCCGGCAGGTTGTATCTCTCTTTATTACTCCTCTAGCCCTAACATATAAAACTCATTTGTAGTGTAAATTACATAACAAAATGAGTCTTACATTTAGGACAAAAAGAGTATTATACATTTAACTTTTTTATTTTTACCTTTTTCTTGAAGTTTTGGTAATTGCATTAGCAAACAGATCATTTTCTGTATTTTTTTGGTCTTATTTATAAAGCAGAGAGTATAAATATATTATTATGTCTTTCATTTATTATAGTATGAATAGTTTTTTTTTTTGGAAAGGTGTTCAACTTTAGTCTTTTTTTAATTGTCACTTATAGGAGATGATTTTGATCCTTTTTATTTGCCACTTATACCTTTGTTAATGTTTCATTTTCAATTTTGCCCCTATTAATTAAGAAAGACAAAAATAAAGGTGAAAAGAAAGGGAATGGATCAGAAAAATAATATATTAGCTATTTGATAAGGATAAAAATAAAAGATTTTATGTATTTAATAATCTCTTTAGTATGTGAGAAACTATTATAACTGACAATTAAAAATGACCATATCGGTATATATTAAATAAGAGTAAGGTCAAAAAGTTATTATATTTTAAAGAAAAGTTAACGTAGTTTAAATTTTTTTTAATCTATATAAAATATGTTAAAATTACCCGGTAAATAACAACAGAAGAATAGAATTGTAGACATAGCTTAATTGGATTGCGTGAACAGATATGAATGAGTTTCCAAAAGTGTGAGAGATTCTTTGAAGGATAATTAATATACATGTCCTTATAGTTTTAACTGGTTTTTAATCAAGTCCCTATAATTTTTTTTCTTTTTATTAGGTCTTTATAATTTTTTTCTTTTTATTAGGTCTATATTGTTTTATCTTATTTTTAATTAGGTCCTTGTAGTTTTTATTCTTTATTCTATAAATAAGAATATTCAATAAATAATAAATTATTATAATAATCTTATGTCAATATTTTTTAAAATTTTTAGTTAAATATCTATTATTTATTTTTCAATTCTAATGTTCATAATTATAAAATTCAAATTATAATAATAAAATTTTCTAAAATTAGAATATAATTATAAATAATTTATAGTTAAGTATAATTGATTACTATAATTAATTATTAATTACTTAGTGATTATATTTATTATTTTGTCCAATTATATAATTATAATTTAAAAATAAAATTAATTTTAGAGCATAAAGTTAACAAATATTTTTTTAAAACTACAAAGGACCTAATTAAAAAAATAAGTGAAACTATAAGGACCAGATAAAAAGAAAAAAAATAGAGAGGCCTAATTAAAAACATGTGAAAGTAAAAAGATCTGATAAAAAGAAAATTTTTTATAAGAACCTGATTAAAAATCAAATAAAATTATAAGGATCCAAAGATTAATTTATCCTAATAAACAAGTAGTAACCATGACACTCCATAATAGTGATGAAATATACTCATATTTTGGCAAAAGACAAAAAGGAAAAAAAAATTGAAAATCCCTCAATCGGAAGATCCATAAGTTGAATGCTTCTTTTCGTAAAGGTTAAAGTATACTTTTAGTCCTTTAATTTTACAGATTTTATTTTAATCCCTTAATTTTAAAAAATAAACATTTAGTCCTCTGATTCTAAAAGTATTAACAAAAAATGATGATATTAAGCTTTCAAATGCTGATAAAACAGTACTAAATGCTAATATATTAAGTTTAATATTCAAAATAGTCATGATTGTTACAAAAAATATCATTTAAGACTAATAATTTTAGGGTTAAAGGACTAAAAGTATACCTTTTAAAATTAAGAGACTAAACTGAAACCTTACATAAAATTAAAAGATCAAATATACACTTTAGCCTTCCGTAAAATATAAAGTTCAACTCAATTCGTATGGTGATTGAAATAAACAATTTTTTTTATTTTTGCTGGGCTTTCCAGAAGTCTTAGGGGATGTTTGAATAGAAACTAAACCATGATTTTAAAAGTGCTTTTACAGTTTACGAAATAAATATGTGGAGAAGTTTGTGTCATTTTACAAAAACTTTTGAGAATTACCAAACACCCCTTAAGATTTGTTTGGAATGACTTATAAGTAACTTTTTAAACATGATTTACGGAATATGAGATAAGTATATGAGAAAAATTTTGTTTTACTTTGTGTAAAAATAGTTATAAGCACTTTTACAATGTTGATCCAAACAAACCCTTAAATTTTCGCTCTTTTTCTGCTGCCGTGCTATTGTGTGTTTTATATCTGTGTTTTTAATGCTTCCGTGGATTATGGATTGGGCTCTCATTTATGCTTTCATGTTAAAAATCCATTATAAGCGAGCCCAAACTTATGCAGGGTACCCTTTTTTTATTTTTCCACTTCTCTTTGAATAAAATTTCCTAATTATCCCGTTGAGAGAGGTATTCACATTTAATATCTGACAGTATTTTAAATAAGATTATTTTTAATATGAGAATACCTATACTTTAGCAAAAAAAAAATCCTAATTATTACCAACAAGTGTTGATCGAAATGAAAGGGATTTGGATACCTTAAACATCATATTTTGAGTTCGATCCTTAAAGTAGTGTATATGAAAAAAAACATTGTTGGCAGGAATTCCTGCTATGGTACCTGATAATATCCTGAGAGATTAATGTCTCACCATTCAGGTAGAAGGATAATCTAGCCAACAACAAAAAAATTCCTAATTATTTTTTTTGAAAAATTCCAAATTAAACAAGAAGGACTTTTTTTTTTTTTTTTGACCGAAGAAAACAAGAAGGACTTAAAAGCACGAGCTCTAATAAGACTAAACTCTTATGCCAACTGTCTGTCATTAGATGGCGGGGAATTACACTCTTATCAGAGAAAAACGAAATGCTTCCTTCATCTTGAATATAAAACCTACTACCTCCGTCCTTAATTATTATATTTTGCTTCCGCTGGCTTCTTCGCCTAGGAAGTTTTCCGATGCCCACACTCTTCTTATCTTTTGTTTTCGTGCAACTCTCTTAGATTTTTTTTTAATAAAAATTGGATAACTTTACTAAGCAAACATTTACCTCCTTCGTCAAGATCAGCCCAATATCAGGTAGAAATTGATCAAGGAAACAAAAATGGCCGTCCTGCATTGGATATTTCATAATGGAAGCCTAGCATAAAACTGGATGCTTGCTAAAAATTCCTCGTTTCCCCCCCCCCTCACATTTTTATCTCTCTCTTCAAATCATTACCATAAAGTAGTTGCAGTAAATATTACTCCTCCGATCCTTAATATAAGACCCATTTAACTAATTTGATTAGATTAAGGAAGTTAGGTAAGTTAGTTAATTATAAAAAATGTGACATGTTTTTCCTAAAACACCATAATCATCTTTCTTAATACCCCCTCCCACTTCTACACTTGATTATAATTGAGGGAGTATCTATAGGGGTAATTTAGAGAAAATTGATAAATATGAGAAATGGGTCTTATATTTAGGATCAAAACCAACTCACCAATTGGGTCCTATATTAAGGACCGGAGGAGTAGAATAATTTTCTATAGATGACAATTATGCTAGACTTTAATCTGACGTATGAGATATCAAAATATATTGATTAGGCAAAAATAAATAGATAGATAGATAGTCAAAGGGGCAAAGGGCTTCAAAATAATAGCACATGCATGCTTTGCAAAAGACTGGCCTCATGACATGCTTCACCCTTTGAAAGACATAAATTCAGATTGTAAAAATATGATTATTTGGCTAAAATAGCTTCTAATCAAATTCTTAATTAATAAAAATTTGTTCGAGTTGGCGTTCTTTCTTCATTTCCACGTTTCACGGTTGGATCCGTAATAATCACTGTGTCTGATGCGCCCATAATATCATATTGAAGAATTCACATTTAAGTAAAGAATGATAATACTCCTATAGTGTTAAATATAAGACCTATTTTGTAGTATAATTTACACTACAAAATAAATTTTATATTTAGAATCAGAAAAGTATCATAGACGAGTATGGTCCCGTTTCTTTTTATGAAAATTGGGCTAATATTATTATTAATTTTTATAGTTTAATTAAATTTTGATTTTAGTCCTTTTTTTCAATTGTTGATTTTAGTCTCCATAATTTTAATTTTATAAGAATTTG